GAATACCGAAGGTCCAAGAAACACTTTCATTTCTTGACGGACTGAGTCAAGCCAGGTTCTGAGTTTACCCCTACTTCGACGTTTCCAATTGGGACAGTAACACTGCACTCGTGAGGTTGACGGCGAAGAACGTGTCCAAACCATCTCAGTCGCGTTTCTTGGATTACCTGGGCTATCTCTGCAATGTTGATGCAGCGTATGCGGACTGTCTCATTTGAGACGAAGTCGGTGTACTTTACGCGAAGGATGGTCATCAAGCAATAGCGGTCAAATACTTCCAGCTTCCGTTCAGCTTCCACACACATAGCCCAGCATTTGCATCCGTATAGAAAGACAGACCGTACAGACGCACGGTAAACGTGGACCTTTTTGGAGATAGAAGTATCGCGTCGGGTCCATAGACGCTTTCGAAGGCTGGAGAAAACTCGTCTAGCTGCGTCAATTCGGAAGAGAATGTCATCCTTACTCTGTCAATTCGGCAGCAACCTCGCTCCAAGGTATTTGAACACAGTCACTCACTAGCCCATAATTGAAGCAGGTCTCACCAACAGATCACAAGCGTTGGGATCACGTTGGCAACTCAGTTTAATTTTTTTATGCCAGTCAGTGCGCAATTAATGGGGAGGGTCGCTGGGCTCAGGTGAAAAAGGAAGACCAGCATCAGGCGAGGTCAGAAGGAAATGACTTGCCAATCTAGCTAGACTCATAGCGCGACTGTTCGTACATGAATGTAGTTACCACGTCCTGGGCGCTCCACAGGATAACGACTTTACTTGCACTTTTTCCGACTGTTATATCTTTGTGTAATCCTATTAATTATCGTCATCTTAAAAGAAATCCAACTAGCGAGTCGGGAATTAGGTGAACTTCTCTAAGGAAAACAGGACAGGACGGGCCTATCGGTCCAGGGCATATAGCTTGCCATGACCGAAAGTCTAGCACTCAAAAACCGACTCGGGAAGTCACTCTCAAGGAGAACGGACCGGGTCAGGAGGGTCACGAAGGAAGGCGAAGCACTCGACCAGCATCCAACCAGTCCCATTCTCTTGCGCACCTGGTCGTCAAAGCGGACTGAGCAGTGGCTGTAGTGGAGCTACTTGGACAACAAAAAGTAAGCTTGGGGAATTGTCCCTCTTTGATGGCGCGAGACAGAGGATGCACCAATATGGCGGTTAGATGACTAAGACTATCCAGCTAGAAAGGTCGCGACCCATTCCCTGCTGAAAGGAGCGATTCTAACCAGTCACTGACAGTTTAGCATCACCTTACTTCGCGACTTAGTCTAGCCCAGTAGTCTATTTCAACCACGTAACGGATAACAGATCACGCTTACATAATTGGTCTAAGCTCGAAGCATACAGCCGATGCAGTAATTATTATGAGCCAAAGTCCCTCAGAAATCGCTTACGCAAGACAAAAAATCGAACAATTGTTTCTTCAATGACTCAACTTTGCAGTTAATATCAAGTTGGATACGATTTCTTAGCGCCCACCATTGGTACTCCGAGCTATCTGGATTTAGTGTTGGATTGGGAGGTTAAAAACTTGTGAAATAATGACGTTTTGTGGACTGAGAGTTCAGTTGAAAGGATTAATTGTAGATACAAATTCATGGTAAGCCAGTGATTTGAGATACCATTTACTGATAGCTAGTTCATGTTAGTTCAGATATTAAAACCTGTGGCATACGTAGACAGAGCTTAAGACGAGGTCAATCACTGCTCTGGAGAGAGACCCGCAACTCGTGTATGTATAAAGCCCAGGACAGTTGGCATACATCAACCACTGAGTCTGATCTCAGAGTCAGTTGGTTGGCAGGATGAGGCTGTCGATTAGTGTGAGGTCCAAACAGCACACAGGTGCATTTCTCACTAGAATACGTCTGACACTCTGTCAATCATGACTTAGAAGCATGTAAACTGATGTAGTAAAGTAGTCCTGCTCAGAACTGCAGATCAGACTTTAATAACTGTTACTTAATAGGGCTGATATGGAATTCCCACTAAAGTGATATACGAGGGCCTAAAGGTGGATAAATTCTGATACAAAGGTCGTTGGGGACTTCAGGTTATGCAAACGCGGCCTAGTTATTCGCAGGCGAGAGTATACGAAAAGCGTGAATAAGGTGTCCGAGCGTCTGCTTAACTATAAACAAATACACGTGCAAGTCAGTGTTTTATCAAGCTATTTAAGCAGCAATGGACCCCGTAGTCAGCTACGACGGAATTACGCTTGACACATGCACGCACGGACATGAATCCAGCATCGTAAGCGCTACAGTTGCACCCCTTTTTAGTGTAATTTCGGGATTCCTGTGCGCTGGAAAACAACTTATAAGAGGAGAGAGACAGAAAGAGAGGCAACAGCTTGCAGATCTGACCAACTATAAATTACGCGCAAGTCACCACTGTATCCTTGGGATAGCGTCTGTGACAAAGGAGCTGTCAGTAGTAGGAACAGTTTAGAACAACATGCAGTAAGATCAGAAAAAATGGGCGCCCAGAATACCGCAAGTAGTAGTAGTAGTAGAAGCATTGAAGGGGCTTACGACAGAAAATTGGTAATAACCACCTGCCAAACAGCGGTCACGGAGCACCCCTGTTGCGGAGGACAGCCATAAATGCTGTCCAGCTTCCACGTTCAACTTACTTGTCCGTCGGGATGTA